TTATTCCTCGGCAGGTTTCTTAACTGCTCTATGTCCACAGTTGCTCATAAAATCGGGTTATACCAGAACCTAACTTGTAGGATTGTTGTGAGGATGATTTAACTTAATAAATGCAAAGTGTAGCTGCCAAGGGATGAACACATAAAGAAAACGTCATACACACACACACACACACACACACACACACACACACACACACACACACAATGTAATATTATTCAGCATTAAAAACTAAGGAAAGCCTGCCATATCCAACAACATGGATGAACCTGGAGGACACTATGCTAAGTAAAATAAGACAGAGAAAGACAAATACCGTATTATCTCACTTATATATGGAATCTGAAACAGGCCAACTCATAAAGGTAGAGAGTAGAATGGTGGTTGCCATGGGCTCATGGGGGTGGGAGAAGTGGGGATATGTTGGTCAAAGGGTAAAAACTTTAAGTTATGTAGGACAAATAACTTCTGGAGAGCTAATGTACAAATGGTGACTATAGTTAGCAACACTGTATTGTATAATTGAAATTTGCTAAGAAAATAGATCTGAAGTGTTCTCATCACAAAAAAAAAAGTTTACTATGTGAGATGATGGATATGTTAATTAGCTTGATTGTGGTGATCATTTCATAATGCATACATATATCAAAACATCACATATTACTCCTTAAATATATATAATTTTGTCAGTTATACCTCAGTAAAGATGGGGGGAAATGCAAAGCATTTAGAATAATGTCTGGTGCATAATGTATGTTGGTTAAGTGTTCACTGTTGCCATTGTTGTTGTTATTATTTTGTTATTATTAAGTATGTACTGTAGATGTTGTAATACAATAATGATAAAGACAAATCCAGTCCCAGCACCATGTTCCTTCCCTAGTATCTGAGATAAAACCAGGTTGTCAGGCTAAGGGTGAGTATCCAGGGCCCCCTCGAAAGAGCTAGGGAGAACCTTACTGACAAGCAAGTGAGGCAGGCTGCAATCCTGAAGAGTTGCATTCTCCAGATTGTAGCATCTGTCATTTGTATAAAATGTCCTGAAGTGTTTTATTAAACCCCATGAATACCCAGTGAGGCCAAATTCAAACAGCTCCCAGCTGTTTCAGTCATGTAATGTGAGGGACGGGGGTGGGCTCCTTGCTGGGGCTATGGCTAGGGCCAGAGCCAGGGCCAGAGTGCTTGGCTGCAGACTGCCAGGGCCCTACTAGAGAAGCATTAGCTCCCTTAATCTCCTCCAACTTGGATGAGTGGAAAGGAAAAGGAGGAAGGCTGCCATCCTATTAGAAACAATCCCATTTAGGCAGAGAACTTGTGATGACCCAAATAGCATCTGTGGTGAGCACCTATTCACCATGTCCCTTTGAAAGCACTCAGACCACCATTAACAATTGGCATGTGGGAATTCTGGTCCCAGTAGTACCACAGGTAACTAGGGCCCAGGAGGGCTTTGCCCCCTTGTTATGTGTAGAAGCTGAGCAGAAAAACCTCTGAGGCTTTATCAGCTGTCCTTCCCTGGACAACTCCTAAGTGAGGAAAGACCAAGGAAGGCTCAGTGCTGGGCACAACCTGAATGGACAGACAAAATTAAAAGCTGTAAAACAGAACAAATGCAAATTCACTAGTGTGGTAACTGAGTGCCAATTGTATAAGGGTCTTCATAATCAGTGCTAGCATTCAAAAAAGGAAAATCATAGTAACTTGAGCTGGATGGTGCAATCAGGGAAGGCTGCTTTGAGGAAGAAGAATGTATGACTTTGATCTTGAAGGCTGGAATGATTGAAATAGGAGGCTTCTTTGGGGGCAGGGAGGGGATGTTAGTGTGAACCTAAGTATAGATCTGTGATTTTGGTGAGTGAGTGGCAAACAGTATTTGCCACCCACTACTACCACCACCTCTACACTGAAAGGGTATATGGAATTTCCAGAGACAGTGGGGTAGCTATGTAAATTTTTAAATATTCAGAATTACTTTTGCTTTGTTTTTCTTTTCAGTCACAATATTTAACTTATTTTGAAAGTTTAAGTGAATTAAAGGAGGCAGTGAGATTTTTAGATTTATCAAAAGGAGTTTTAAAGAGCTATGAAACACTGATCTAGAAGAAAGAAAGCTCAGCACCATGTTTATCAGACAAGACTGGCCTCATGACCTGGAAACTGCATGTTTAGATTTGAGCTTTACAATTTTACAAGGCGAGAATGACTCTCCTAGTTTTATAGTTGAGGAAATCGAGGCTCAGTGAGGTTAATTCATTTGCCCAGTACAACACAGCTAGTAGGTTAAGCAGCTAGGATTCGAACTCAGAACTTCAGGCTCTAACTCATGTTATTTCCACCATTCCACGCTGCTTCGTGGCCTTAGCTACCCTTTCTGGTTGGATTTTCTGAACAGTGGATCATTCTTAATCATTCCTATCACATTTCTACACTTGGCTTTATGACTAATCTGATGCCTGAAAACTCACATTCAATGCTCTGGGGAGCCAGAAAGGGCAGGCAAAGGGAGAATTTTAATGACACATCCCTCTAGCCCTGCTCCCGTGCCACAAACATTGAATTCTTTCTCTTTCCTTATTATCGATAAATACCTAAAGAAACAATAGGAGGTTCAGTTGATGCTTTAAATTTAGCTCCAAGTTTGTATACATTCTTTCCATTTTTGGAAACTAGTAAATATTTTGGAGGCTAACAATGATTATGACATACCAACTCAGAGGGAAAGGAAGCTGCAGGCTGAAGTTAGGAATAGAGGGAGGTTGAGCCTGCCCATGTTCTAGCCAGGTGGACACCCACCTATTAGCTGTGTGGTCCAGGTCTGTGTGTATTTGTATTATGTATTGTAAGGCAGGTTTCAAGACTTTACAAGATCAAAGTAGATTACATTGATCCATTTTCCTCAGCTTGTTCTGCTTTTGTAGTTACATTAGCCTGACAGGGCCTACTTTTTATGCATATGTTTCACAAAGTGTTCCTGGGGATTATGGAAGTCAGTGCATGGGCACCACCACATCCTTTTGGCAGGACTGAGCTTGTCCACTTTGAGCATGGTGAAAGGAATCCAGGCTCTGAAACAAGCTTGGAGCTACATTGTCCCACTCCATACAGCAGACCTATCTCTCTCCTATAAACTTGATGCCAAGGTTAGCCAACAGATCAGAACCCATCTGTACTCGAAAGCCTATCTATATACATAATCACTATGAAAGGAAGAAGAACACCATGATAGTTATTTTTTGCAAAGCAATTTATCAACACCTGTATTTCCCAGCCTGAGGCTTTGAGATTGATAGAGCTATGCTGGGAATCCTTAAAGACAGCCTTCCCCAGCCCTACAGAAAAGCCGAGTTTACCATGCAGTGTGAAGAGTTAGGACTGGGAATGTGAGTGGCCAAAGGCAAATTCTTTGCAGGTAGCCTGCAGCTGCGAACTGTGAGGCATGTCAGACAATTCAGTAAAATGGGAATAGTTTAACCAGACCATGTAATGGTAATAAAAATTAATGACTCTATCAGATAGTCTAGAAGGCCAAATATAAGCAGAGAGGAGGGAGAGTTGGCCAGAAAGGGCCCCTGCTACTAGTAGAAGATATCTGTCAGAGCAGGGCTCACTGGGGCCCTCCTTGGACAGACTCAGCCACATCACATGCAGCAGTAGGTGTGTTTTCAAGGGAAGCTGAGGGCAGTGCTGAGAGGAAGAGGGGCTGAAAGACCATTGTGAGACAGTTACTTATCAGACCTTACATTCCACAGACCCACAGGTCATTTCATCCACCCCTCTGTTTTTCTTTTTTTAACTTATGAAATTCTTGATATTCAAAAAGATATAAAAACAATATAATGAGCACTTACTCTCCGACTTAAGAAATAAATCATTACAAATACAGTCTTTAACCTCTCCCTCTTTTCTTCCCTTCCTTTTCCTTCTTTCTCACTTGTCCCCATTCTCCTCTCTGTACTCTCTTGAATTTGGCATGTATCATTGTTGTATATTTTTACATAATTATTGTACATATGTATGTATGCCTAAACATTAGATGGCATTGTTTTTTTATGTTTTTAAACCTTATATAAATGGAATAAATATAGATGAGATAAAGCTATATAGAAAAGAAACCAGGGGAATGATGAGCATGTGATTCAGTATGGAGGTTGCCTTGGCGTCGTAGCTTTTGGAATGAGCAGTGGGTTCACCAAAAATTAATACATCATTAAAAGTAAGTAAGTAAGTAAATAAATAGAGAAATCAGAGCACTATGCATTGAGTAATGGTGAGTGTCTCATGAACTGAGAATTGGGATTCAATTCTGTGTACCCAAGAACAAAACAAAAATCATAACAGATAGGAAATATACTATTTGTATCCAGCTACAACTTTTATTTTTCTCACAGAATAAGATTTGTGAGATTCATCCATGCCAATATATGAAGCTTTATATTCACTTTCCCCCCATTTCTCCTGCTAGACTAGGCCTTCTCCAAAACTCCCCAGAGTGCTAAATGTTCAACCTTCCCTAAGTAATCTTTTCTGGCCAGCAGCCTGTGGCCACCTAGCTACTATTATCACTCATCTCCCCTCTGATATGTAAGTCTCATTGGCTTGCTTGGATTCCTGAGTATACTGCAGGCAACCAACCAATTAATTTCATACTTCTGGAAGGCTTGCAAATATTTTGGAAGAGGAAAAGCCCTTGTTAACTGTGCTGTGTGACTTACTGCTTCTTACTTCCCATCAGCAGTCTTGCAAACACATACATGGATTGAGGCTGAGGTCTGAGACAAAGTCTATGGATGTAGGCCAGAGGCTTTCTCTAAGAGCATCTAGTTAACCAACTATTAGTGTCATACACTAAGCTAACCTGCCCAAATTTAGACCAAACCACCCCTCATTGATACTCCAGAACAATGGCAACGTTAGCATCCTGCTACGCCAATGTGCCGAGTCTCCTGGTACCCACTCTCCACATACCTTCAACAAAAAGCCTTCTCTTTCTTCCTACCTAGGACCTGATCCGGAGAGACATCCTGTACTACAAAGGCCGCATTGATATGGATAAATATGAGGTAGTTGACATTGAAGATGGCAGAGATGATGACTTCAATGTCAGCATGAAAAATGCCTTCAAGCTTCATAACAAGGAAACTGAGGAGATTCACCTATTCTTTGCCAAGAAGTTGGAGGAGAAGATACGCTGGCTCAGGGCTTTCAGAGAAGAGAGGAAAATGGTGCAGGAAGATGAAAAAATCGGTAAGTGACCTGAGAGGAGAAAGAAGAATATGGCTATGAAGAACATAGTGAGTTAAATTAGTTTTCATTTTTTCAGAGGCAGAGAAGATTTTTGTTGCAAACTAACCTAATCCACTTTGGTGGTCCCCTATTATTAGGTTATTTTTGGTAGATACCAATAGTTTCTATTAGTCAAGGTTAAGTGATAAAGGTTGGTCTCCCCTACATTCTCATTACTAGATAAGATTATTACACTGAAATAAAACCTCAGGCTCGATTCTCCCAAACATACAAAAATTTATTAGCAAACAAACACAAAAGCAGTCATAGAGCCTGTTCTGTATTTTCAGTGAAGTCCCAACTCTGTCCTTAGATACATAACAACATCTTCTGTAAAAAGATTAGGTTAGTCGAGGCAGATTTGGTAACATATAGGATTCAGCTAAGCTCCTAGTCAGAGTCTAGTGACAAAATCCTCTGACAAGGGCCAAAATATAGTACCCATTTTCAATCTTAAACTTCAGGCTTCCTTCTGAAGTGTATGTATAGGCTGTAAGGTTCACTGGATTCTTATACCTAGTTCTTGTGAGAGCTAAAGTGCCTGTAAGACTTTTGTGGCCAGGGCACATCTTGCACAGCATTCTTTCTTTTATCAGTGAAAATTAATTTTTAACATGTATTAGGCTAATTAGGCCTCCTGCATTAAGGTGACTGAACTGCTCCTCTTGAGTGCATATTCCTGATTAGAGCATTTTAGATGTTAACTAAATGCCCCTAGAGTATAGATTAAAATTAGTGTGCATGTATATATCATGCACTACTTATGAAAGTCTTTTAAAGTAAATTATAGAAAATATAACAGGGTCTAAAACCATGACCACTTGCACAATTTAGAATCATACTAAACTATACTCTTTGGCTTGAAATAAGTTGTTTTCCTTTCCAAAGGGAATATAGCTGGTAGAGATACTTTTTATGCTGCTTTCCAACTGTGGGATTTAGGCTTTAGCTTTGTGGTTTACAAAGTACTATCTGGTCCCTTACTCATGGTCCTGCCTTTCTGGCATAAAAATACCAAACAACCAGGCATTGAAATTTCATGAGAAGACACAAGAGTTTCTGGTTTTGACTCACTTATAAGGGTGGAGAATTATACCTTAAAACACCTGTATGTTCAAGTTGGTAGAAACTGCCTCTAGAAAAATGGGCCTACCATTTTAGTCCTGGTGCAAATGTATTCTCCTGTCTGAAGTGTTAACGATTGAAATGGTCCGGAGGCAAGGAAGGATAATCAAAAAGACACTGCTTAGTCTTATCCTAGTCTTCTCAGGTTTAGAGTAGAGTGCATATTGATAATTCACTTTAAGTCCCATTGGAGTCAATTTGCTTTCAGTCTATGGGCACTGCTTTGGGACATAATGTGGAATCATTACAGAAATGCTACTGGCTGCTTCTCCCAATGGCAGGCGCCAGCAACCTCTGACCCTGCCTAGGTTGTTAGTGCTATTAGAGGAATTGCCTCAGTGTACTTTTTGCAAACCCTAGATCAATTTGAAGATTCATACCATTCCCTCTGGTTCCCACACAATAGAAAAGCTTCCAGAAATTACTTCCTGACTGCTTATGTTCATCTTTTTAAAAATATTAAGGTTTTTGGTCTGATTATAACGGTAAATCATTTTCATTGTAAGAAATTTTGGGGAAAGAAACACGAAAAATACAAGAAAAAAACTAAAAATCACACATGAACATACTACCCAGAGATAACTTTTGTAAAAATTTTGATATATTTCCTTCCCATCTTTTTTTTTTCTATGTGTCTAAAAACAAAAGCAAAAACAAAAACTAGGGTGGCTGAATCTTTATATCTGTCTCCTTCTACTTCTGCCACTTCTTGATAGATAGATATAATTTTATGTCCTTATTTTTCACTAAAAATTATATCATTAGCATTTCTCTAAATCATTTACTATTTTAATCATTATTTTTATGGTTGTCATATGGATTTACCATAATTTTTATTTTTATTTTTAAATTATAAAATAAATACATCGTCATAATAGCTGTTTAAACACATATGGAAATGTAATAAAGTTTAGCATTCTTTTTCCTTCTCTGTTGCTCCTAAGCTGTGTGAGATAATCAGTATTAATAATTAGGTGTGCCTCTTTCTGTACTAATCTTAAGCTCATATAAACATATATACACGTAAGACTTTATTTTTATTTAGAAAAATTATATTATACTACACATTATGTTATACATATTACTCTGTAACTTGCTTTTTCTTTAACTTGCTTTTTCAACTTGCTTTTTTTATATACATATTACTCTGTAACTTGCTTTTTCAAACATAATTTATCATAAGTAACTCTCCAGTTGAAGAATACAGAATCTAATATAACTCATTGTATCAGTCAGGGTTCAACAAGAGAAGCATAACCAATAGGAGATGTATTATTATTAAGAGATTTATTATAAGGAATTGCCTTATGTGATTGTGAAGCCTGGCTAAGCAACTCCAGGCAGTCAGGAATCAAAGATCATGGGCAGGCTTGAACTCATGGGCATAGGCCAAAGCTGTCATCTATAGGGCTTGTAAGTCTGAAGCTGTGAGGCAAAATTTCTTCTCTTGGGGGAGACCTCAGCCTTTCTTGTTGTTTTTTTTTTTTTTTAAGTGACAAAAACACTTACCATGAGCTCTATACTTTTCACAAATCTTTAAGGGCACAATATAGTAATGTTAGCGATAGGCTCATTGTTGTACAACAAGTCTCTAGGAGTTATTCATATCTTGTGTAAATGGAAATTTATAGCTATAGAAAAGCAGCTTCCCATTTTTCCCTCCTTCCAGCCTTTAGAATCACCATTCTGCTCTCTGTATCTATGAGTCTGACTAGTTTAGATACTTCATATTCATACAAATACAGGATTTGTCCGTCTGTGATGGCATTATTTTAATTAGCAAATGTCCTCCAGACTCATCCATGTTGTCACATATGGCAGAATTCCATTCCATTTTAGGGCTGAATAATATTCCTGTATGTGTGTGTGTGTGTGTGTATACGAAAATACATATCACATTTTATTTATCCCTTTATCCATCCTCAGACATTTAGATTGTTTCCATATCATGGCTATTGGGAATAATGCTGCAATGAAGCTAAGAGTACTGATATCTCTTCAAGATCCTGATTTCAGTTATTTTGGATAAATACCAAGAAGTGGGTTACTGGATCATATGTTAGTTCTATTTTTAATTTTATGAGGATCCTCCATAATGTCTTCCATAATGATTAAATCATTTTAATTCCCAACAGTTTACTGTGGTTCCAGTTTCTCCACATTCCTGCCAATACTTATTATCTTTTGTTTCTTTGATAATAGCTCTCTAAACAGGAGTGAGGTGATATTTTATTATGGTTTAGATTTGCATTTCCCTGATGATTAGTGATGTCCTTTTTTATATACCTGTTGGCCATTTATATGACTTATTTGAGTACATGTCTATGCAAGTCCTTTGCCCATTATTTTTAATCAAGTTATTTGTTTTTTTGCTATTGAGTATAGAAGTTTCTTATATATTTTGGAAATTAACCCCTTATTGGATATATGATTTGCAAATATTTTCTCCCATTGCATAGATTCCATTTTTAATCTGTTGTTTCTTTCCTTTGCTGTGCTGAAACATTTTAGTTTGATGTAATCCTATTTTTCTACTTTTGCTTTGTTGCCTATGCTTTTGGTATCATATCCAAGACATCATTGTCAAGAAGATTTTTCCCTCTTTTCTTCTAGGAGTTTTACAGTTTCAAGTCATACATTTAAGTCTTCAGTGCACTTTGCATTGATTTTCATATATGGTGTAAGGTAGAAGTTCAATTTCATTCCTTTGCATGTGGATATCCAGTTTTCACAGAACCATTTGTTGAGTAAACTGTATTTTCCCCATTGTGTACTCTTGGCAGCCTTGTCAAAGATATGTTGACTGTATATGTGTGGGTTTCTTCTGGGCTCTCTCTCCTGTTCAATTGGTCTATATGTCTGTCTTTATTGCCAGCACCATACTGTTTTAATTACTGTAGCTTCATAGTATATTTTGAAACAGGAATTGTGATGCCTCCAGCTTTGTTCTTCTCCCTCAAGATTGCTTTAGCTATTATGGGTCTTCTGTGTTTCCACATGAATTCTAGGATTGATTTTTCTGTTTCTTTAAAAAATGCCATTGAGGTTTTGATTGGATTGCATTGAATCTGTAGATGACTTTGGGTGCAAATGGGCATTTAACAACATTAAGCCTTCCACTACAAGAAAAGTAAACTGCAGGCCAATATCCCTAACAAAATACATGGGAAAATCCTCAATAAAACAGTAGTAAACAAAATTCAACAGTACAATAAAAGAATCATACACCATGACCAAGTGGGATTTATCCCTGGGATACAAGGATTGTTCAGTATATGTAAATCAATTAATGTGATACACCACACTAACAAAATGAAGGAAAAAAATCACACGATCATCTTTATAGAGGCAGAAAAATCATTTGACACAATTCAACACCCTTTTATGATAAAAACTATCAAGGTATAGAAGAAATTTACCTCAACATAATAAAGGCCACGTATGGAAGGCTCACAGCTAACATCATAGTTAAGGGGGAGAAGCTGAAAGCTTTTTCTCTAAGATCAGGTACAAGAAGGATGCCCACTTTCAACACTTCTAGTCAAAATAGTAGTGGAAGTCCTAGCTAGAGCAATTAGGCTTAATTAATTAATTACTGCCTCCAAATCAGGAAGGAAGCAGTAAAATTATTCCTGTTTCCAGATGACATCATCTCATGTATAGAAGACCCTAAAGACTCCACCAAAATCTCCTACATCTAATAAATGAATTCAGTAAATTAGTAGGATACAAAGTCAACACAAAAAAGAAGTTGTGTTTCTATACAATAACAACAAACTCTCTGAAAAAGAAATTAAGCAAACAATCCCATTTACAGTTGCATCAGAAAGAATACAATACTTAGGAATAAACTTAACCAAGGAGGTAAAAGACTGGTACATGGAAAACTACAAAATATTGCTGAAAGAAATTAAAGAAGACACAAATAAATAGACATTCTGTGTTCATGGAACAGAAGACAATGTTGATAAAATATCCATTTTACTGAAAGCCATCTGTAGACTCAATATGATCCTATTAAAACTTCAATGACATTTTTTACAGAAACTGAAAAAAAGGACAATCCTAAAATTCACGGGGATCAACAGTACACCCATGAGAGAGAAGAACAAAGCTGGAGGCATCACAATTCCTGATTCTAAATATATTACAAAGCTACAGTAATTAAAACAGTATGGTGCTGGCATAAAGACAGACATATAGACCAATGGAATAGGATAGGGAGCTCAGAAATAAACCTACATGTATATATTCAACATACCTTCAACAAGGGTCCCAAGAATACACAATTGGGAAAGGATAGTTTTTCAATGAATGGTGTTGTGAAAACTGGATATCCACATGCAAAAGAATGAAATTGAACTCCTACCTTATACCATACATGAAAATCAGTTCAAAGTGAACTGAAGGCTTAAACATATGCCTGGAGAATGTAAAAATCCTAGAAGAAAACATTGGAGAAATACTTCTTGACATTGTTCTTTGGTGACGATTTCTTGGCTGTGACACCAAAAACATGGACAGCAAAGCAAAAATAGACAAGTGGGACTACATACAATGAAAAAGCTTATGCACAGCAAAGGAAAGAAACAACAGAACAAAAAGACAACCTATTAAATGGGAGAAAATATTTGCAAACCATATATCTGATAATTTCCAAAATATATAAGGATCTCCTACAACTCAATTAGCCAAAAACCAAGTAACTCAATTAAAACATTCACAAAGAACTTGCACAGACATTTTGGTTATTTCATTAATTACTTTTTGCCATTCAATTTTTTTTCTCCTGAAAGTTTCGTTAAGTCTATATACATTTTCTGTTGTAATCACTTATCTTTGACTCATTTTTTTTCCTTTTCTTTGTGTTTTTGCTTTTGGTTGTGAAATATTTTTCCACTTTATACTATATTTTATTCAACCATTCTCCATTTAACAGCCTCTTAACTCATGATCTCACTTTTTTGCCCCTCTATACATTTAAATGCATTTTTGTAAGTCTTTGTCCAAGTTTCTGACCACTTTCCTTTTTGTGCTTTTCAAGACTTTTGATATATCTTGGCAAAATTACTCTTCCAGAAAAGTTGTACTAATTTGTACATTTAAGAAAGGTCTATGTTTCTCATAACAAAGTAATGTATTTTTATGTTATAGGCTTTGAAATTTCTGAAAATCAGAAGAGGCAGGCTGCAATGACTGTGAGAAAAGTCCCGAAACAAAAAGGTAAAACTGCCTTTAACTACAACCTCCCTGATCTCACCCACTCTCGTTGTGAGACTGAGAAGCCATAGGCTATGTGCTTGCATATTCCTAGGCTTGTTTCCATGCTAAAGTTCACTTGGGGTGGTGGGAAATGACCAGATACCCAGGTGTCCCTGATGACAGTTGGCAAATGGTCTTAACAGATTTAAGGTTTAGGAGTGAATAATTTAAGGCAATCATGTCCAAAGAGTGCATTGGGTACAGGTAAAAATATAACCTCTGTTTCCTTTATTTTCACTTAAATAAAAGAGAGAAACTAAACTTTACTAACAATTTAGAAACAGTTGGACAATAGTAAATTTGTAGAATTTATTAATATGTATAAATATATTAGGGTTATGTGCATAACAATTCTTTCATTGGTTTGGGAGCATTTGTGAAATCAGGAACCCCAAATCAGAATGGACAACTTCAAACTGAACCTAGACAGAAGAGTCAGATAGTTATTCTCGTTTTGAACCATAAAGTATTTAAAAAAGAAAAATACCTTGGGGGTCAATCTGAATATGAAATGAAGCTTTATTTTCTCATTTTCCTGAACTAGAAAAAAATTAAAATTCTTAATTAAACAAAAGCTAGGAAATATCCCTTCTTTTTTTCGAGAACCTATTCAGTACCAGTCATTCTATATAAGTTCCTTCATTTCATTTTTATGGTACCCCTGAAAAGGTAGGTACTATTAGCCCCATTTTCCAGATGAAGAAACTGAGGATCTTTGGGATAAAGTGACTCTGAACTTAAGTCAGCTTGACTCCAAGTCCTCTGATCACTCCTCTCCATCTCAGGGTTCTGATGATCCTCCATGATGGGAAAGCACAGCTCACTTTTTTGTCTTGCCTCAATTACTGACAGCTTTTTCTATTACTGACAGCCACTATCATTGTCCCCAGGGTAGGCAATCTTTTTTTTTTTTTTTAACATCTTTATTGGGGTATAATTGCTTTACAATGGTGTGTTAGTTTCTGCTTTATAACAAAGTGAATCAGTTATACATATACATATGTTCCCATATCTCTTCCCTCCTGCATCTCCCTCCCTCCCACCCTCCCTATCCCACCCCTCCAGGCGGTCACAAAGCACCGAGCTGATCTCCCTGTGCTATGCGGCTGCTTCCCACTAGCTATCTACCTTACATTTGGTAGTGTATATATGTCCATGCCTCTCTCTCGCTTTGTCACAGCTCACCCTTCCCCCTCCCCATATCCTCAAGTCCGTTCTCCAGTAGGTCTGTGTCTTTATTCATGTCTTACCCCTAGGTTCTTCATGACATTTTTTTTCCTAAATTCCATATATATGTGTTAGCATATGGTATTTGTCTTTCTCTTTCTGACTTACTTCACTCTGTATGGCAGACTCTAGGTCTACCCACCTCATTACAAATAGCTCATTTTCATTTCTTTTTATGGCTGAGTAATATTCCATTGTATATATGTGCCACATCTTCTTTATCCATTCATCTGATGGTGAGCACTTAGGTTGTCTCCATCTCCAGGCTATTGTAAATAGAGCTGCAATTAACATTTTGGTACATGACTCTTAATGAGACTTCACTTTCCCTAGGTCCTCCCTTGTGCTCTTTTAAAGGGCTGTTTGGTTCAGAATGAGTCACCATATAAAATGATCAGATTCAAGTTGCCTGAAATTCTAGCAGCCACATAAAGTACACTTAATTATTCCTAATGAGGTTCCTTTTCATTGAGGAGGCTGAGTGCCTGTGGAGATCTGATTTCCAGTTGAGGAGTGCACCTGGCTTGGGCCTCTGGCTAGACATGGCCTTCCTTCTGTTTGTTGCTTCTTACTCTTGGGAGGCCCTCACTGGCACTTTCCCTCATCATGGAAATATGATTCACTTTAGATAGAGAATTAAAGGCAGCCACTTCTAACTTCTTAGGCGGGAAAACATGACAGTTTATAAAGTAATCTGGAGTTAATAACAGTAAGTCTATGATCTGTATGAATAGTAGAATCCTTTGAGAGAATATGCTTCTTCCTTAGAGATATGAGCCCCAGCCACCTGGACAGTCCTCAGGCTACAAAGTGGTTACTGTCCTACTGGCCCACCTCTGTCTCCTGGAGGCTCTCACCTCCTGAGCTTCTCTCACTCTGAATTCCTCCACTGTCCCTACCACACTAACCTTCATGATGGGATGGTGTTCCTTTACTTCAGCCCAAGTTCCCTCAAGTCTATCTGAGACTGGCTTATCTTTTCACTGAGAAACCATAAAGTAGAGGAACATGCACAAAGCAACGAACTAGAAAACAGTCCTACTCACTCATGCCAAACCTTTGTGTCAGGTTCCTTCTCTGCCTTGTCTCCAGGCTATCCCTTACATGTCCTTTCTTGTCTCCCAATATTTAAACAATGGTTCACCTAAACAGCTTTCCATGTTTAATAGCAATCCTGAAGTCTTCAAAGAAGCTTATCTAGTCTCAAACTTCACAGAATTCCTAAAAATTGATTCCCTTATTTCTATTTCGAGTTTTCAAGGCTCTCCTAGTCCAGGGCTGTGGTGACTGATATATTTTGAGACTCAAGGGCACTACACATGTAGAAGTGATTGTACAGCTTAGTAGTTCAATAGTTTTATCATATACATAGGAAGAGCAAGAAGGGAGTTCTCTCAAGATACCTGAGAAAGCCAGCTTTCTTAATCCTTCCAATAATCCCTTCCTGGAAGTGATGGGGAGCATTGTTGTCAGGATTTCTCTAATTCAGATTTAATACAGATTCCAACACAATCTGTAATGCCATGGGACCTTATTAACTCAGTGTACTCTTCTGGAGGAGGGGAAGCCTGACTGGAAGAAAAGCAAAGAGAACAGAGCCTAGCTCCAAGGGAGGCCTTTTCACTTTACATTTGACTTTTACACTGCATTGTTTTTAAGAATTGATATTTAACTTCTTGGGAGTTGGTTGCTAATTCCTGGTCCATCAACCCATTTCATTTTGTCATCATGGAGTTCCCTAGGGCCATGAGTACAGTCCCTATCTCCAGAGGCTTTAGGGCCAGCTCAAAATCAAATGAGTACCCCAGAATAACTAGAATAAACTTGAAATAGAATAAAGTTTGAATAATAAGTCTACCCTGATTTGAGAACTAATTATATAGCTACAATAACCACGACAGTTTGGTGTTCGTAGAGGGATAGACATGTTAGATCAATGGAATAGAATAGAGAAACCAAAAACAGACCTACACAAATATGCCCAACTGATTTTTCACAAAGGTACAAAAGCAATTCAGTGGAGGAAGGATGCCTTTTAAACAAATGGCACTGAAGCAATTGGGCTTCCACAGGCCAAAAGTAAAAATAATCTCAACCTAATTTCACACCCTATAAAAATTAACTCAAAATAGATAATGAACTTAAATTTAAAGCTGCAAAACTTTTAGAAAACAGTAGGAGAAAATCATCAGGATTTAGGTCTAGTCAAAGAAGTTCTTAGAACTGACACCAAAAGCTTGAACTATAAAATAAAAAATTGATAAACTTAACCTCATCAAAATAGAAAATTTTGCCCCATGAAAGACCACGTAAAGAGGATGAAAAAACAAGCTACAGGCTAGGGAATATATTTGCGAACCACGTATCTGACAAAACATTGGTATCTAGAATATATAAAGAACTCTCAAAACTCAATAGTAAGGGCTTCCCTGGTGGCACAGTCATTGAGAATCTACATGCCAATGCAAGGGACACGGGTTCGAGCCCTGGTCTGGGAAGATCCCACGTGTTATGGAGCAACTAGGCCCATGAGCCACAACTACTGAGCCTGTACATCTGGAGCTTGTGCTCCACAACAAGAGAGGCCACGACAGTGAGAGGCCTGTGCACTGTGATGAAGAGTGGCCCCCACTCGCCGCAACTAGAGAAAGCCCTTGCACAGAAACTAAGACCCAACACAGCCATAAATAAATAAATAAATAAATAAATAAATAAATAAATAAGTAAGTAAGTAAAAATTAAAAAGCTCAATAGTGAAAACAAACAAAAAAACTACACACTTCAATTAGAAAATGGGCAAAAGACAGATAATTCACTGAAGAGGATATATGGATATCAGTTACACACATGAAAAGATGTTCAACATTATTAATCATTGGAAATATGTAAATTAAAACCACAATGAGATGTCATTACATATCTATTACAAAGGCTAAAATAGAAAAAAATTGTGAAAACACCAAATGTTGGCAAGGGTGCATGGAAACAGAATCATTCATACCTTGCTTGTGAGAATGTAAAACAGTACAGCCACTGTTTTATGTAATAGTTTGGTGGTTTCTTAAGACATAAAACATACAACTACCAAATGATCCAGCAATGACACATCTGGGCACTTATCCCAGAGAAATAAAAACTTATTGTCACTTAAAGCTTCTAAACAAATACCCATAGCAGCTTTTTCATAATAGCCCAAACTAGAAACAATGTAGATGTCTTTCAATGGGTGTAATTAAGCAGATTCTGGTACATCTATACCATGTAATATAACACGTCAATAAAAAGGAGCCAACTATTGGTACATAAACCAACGTGAGAGAATTTATACGGATTCATGCTGATTGAGAAAAGCCAACATCCAAAGGTTACATATGGTATAACTCCATTTATATAATATACTTCAGGTGATATAATTTGGAAATAGGGAACATATTAGTGGTTTCCAGGGGTTAAGGAGGGAGTAGGGAAAGGAAAGAAGTGAGTGTGGTTATAAAAGAATAACATGAGTAATCCTTGTGATGATAGAAATGTTCTGACTCTTGACTGTATCCTGTAACAATGTTAATATCCTAGCTGTAATAATGTAATATAGTTTTGCAAAATGCTATCATTGGAGAAATTGAGTAAAGGGTGCAAGGTATATCTCTATATTTTCTCTTACAACTGCATGTGAATCTACAATGATCTCAAAATAAAAAGCTTAATTTAAAAAATAAAAGGAGCACTCCCCAAAT